GTTTGTCTTAAGTCTTCAGTTTCTCCCTTCAGGAAACTATTGTGTTGCTCTCACTTTCCCTGAATACTAAGAATAAAGAAATCTAGTCTATGAATGTATATGATCCGAAACCCTTTGTCATGAACCAGCCATCTTCCTTCATTGATCTCTTGCTCTTCGTGTATTTGTTAAGTTTCTATTTTAGTTATTCAATTTTTATGTGCTTTTCCTTTATATTTTTTAGATTTTCTTGCCAACAAGATATTTCTTCTTATTTCTCTTTTTTGTCTTTGTACAGACATATTTTTCTGTACAAAGAAAAATTTAATTAATTTTGTTTTTCATACTGTGTTTCTGTATATTTAATGATACCCGTTTAACAGGTGGCTTGTGAAAAGTCCTAATTTCTTTAGTGTACTCATTTAATTTTAATTAAACACATGTACATTTCTAGAAAGTTAGTACCATTTTTATAGCTCTGTCACAGTACAGTTTAGTCTGATTTGCTGTCTTCTGTTGAGACCATCTTACATATTAGCTCTTGTCCATTTCTCATCCTCCATAGAATAATTGTATTTAGATTACTTTGCTACGTGTGATTTAATGAACTAATCTGATGACTTCTTTTTCCTCCTGAAGGTTTATATATATATATATATATATATATGCTAAAGTGTAAAGGAACAGCAGGGGTTTTTTTTACCTAATCTGTTCCATGTGATGCAAAGCACAAATGAAACTCTTAGCAACATTATCAGAAATTTTAACTGAAAAGAAAACCAGCAGTCTAATTCTTTGGAAGGTCTAGGGCAAAATAACAAGAGGAAAAAATTTAGGTCATATGGGCCGAATGCTTTTGGAGCCGTGCTGTGGCAAAAATCCTGGCCAGAATTGACCTGTGCTTGGCTATGTCTCCAGCTGTATGTCTTTGCCATTTTACGAGGGCTGAATACTGATTGTTGAATTAAGTGCTAAAACTGAGAAATCGATGTTCCAACACCACAGAATACATAGCAGCAGTTTCCACGTTGACCTAGTTCTCCTTCTCATAAGGTCTGGATTCCACAGTCACTCCACTGCATTTCCTTCACTGGTGTATTCTTTTAAGAAGGAGCCACTCTCCTTTACTGTCTCTGTACTCTGATATGACTTTATTTAATACTCCCAAATCCCGCTTTGTTGACTTATGCAGCCTCTCCTCGTTTCAGGCTCTGTAGCTACACTGCTGCTCCTGTTTATTTTTATAGAACTACAGTAGATTCAGCTGTGGTAGGATATTTCTCCTAGCTGAAGCATTTATAAAACCACAGAGAGTGGATGCATTAAAATGTTTAAGCAGGTTTTCACTGTAGAAGTAATCAAAATTACTTGCTCGGAGTGGGAGCAAACACAAACATGCTGAAAACCATGTTAAATAGTCATGGCTGATGTTTGCTGTAGATTAACATCAGTAGACCAACTAATATGTTTTCCATTTGATATGCTTGATTTAAACTGAATTCTGTACCACCTTTAACATAACCATAATAATATATTTTTTCCAGTTTAAACCTGGACTGGGTAAACAGTTTCTGGTATACTTTCTTGGAAAAATTTCCTTCTTCTGTCCTCATGCCAACTGCTTATTGAGGAAACTTCATATGCAAAGCAAGTAATTTAAATGCAATGTGACATGATTTGAGTTTTACTAAGTAGCCTGTCTACATTTTTTTCTCTATATGAGGAATATATCCTCCTTTGAAGCATCAGGTCTCTGTGCTTCTTACCCATGTTCCTAGACTTCTTTTTCAGTGGATTTAACAGTATCTTCTTGGAGACCTCAGAATAAATCAAACTGAAATTGCTTTTGATAAAAGAAGGCCCTACTCCTAATAAAGTCCAAGTGGGTTATGTCCGTTCACTCAAAGATTGAATTTAGTCTCAGTGTTTTGTTGGGTCTCTGGCACTGTATTTTATTTTATATTTGCAACTGCTAAGGCCTGGTTTTGGAGAGGTAAAAAAACTCCATGGTGAGATATGGAAAACGTGTTTTTTTCACCAGCAGGTACTTTGGAAATTTCCCTGCAATGTAGAGTTTTTATATGAAGATTGGTTAGTACACATCATGAATTTGTTTGGTTTTCAATGATAATTTTGTTTCCTAAATCCTGATTCTTGCTCTTTCTCACAATATTTACAAGAAAATTTAAATACAAGAAAGGGTTTGTCCAACCATCTGGCATCCTCTGAAGTAAGAAACCCTGGCCCTGGAGGAAAAGCAAATGAATAATGTAGGAGCAGCTAGTTAGCAGAGCACTTGCATCATATTTGTCTGATAGAATGAACTAACCTCTAGTTTATGAAAGAGTAGGAGATTACTTTTTAGAAATAGTATTTTCCATGTACTGTAGAGGAAGAATTTATTTCGGTGTGGAGAATACTCCCTACAAAGCTTGAAAAGCACACATTTCATATTTCTTTTAGGGAACTTGATTGCAATGTTAAAAGTGTATTCAAAGAAAACCTTTGCTTTGATCTGAATGCTGTACAATGAGTATTAATGTGAAGATATTTTTCCTCAGAAGCTGCATTAATCTTCTGTAGTCATGTTTCTCATGTATCAAACAAGGTTTTGAGGGTAACAATGGCTGTTTGCTTCACTGCTAGTATCAGATAGGCAAATATTTATCAGCTTCTTCCCTCTTGGGATGCTTTGCTGAATATGTGCATCTTTGGCAAGGCTGACTTTCCAAGCAATGAAACTAATCTTTATGTGAGACTTACATAATTATCACATTGCCATCTCTGTTGAACGGTAGCCAATCATTGCTTTGTATCAATCAATCTTTTTTTCCAAGTTTCTCACCAAGGCTTAGCAGAGTCTGGTGAGAACATATGTCCCTTATAAAGCTTCTCATGAAGACTTGTGCTTGTAAAGTACTTTAGTCTCAAAGGGATCTTATGGGAAGTAACATATACTTGGTCCGAGCAATGAACTCTGTGAAAGAGAGAGAATAGAAAGAGATCTGAGAAGGGGATGTGAAATATGAAGTCTTTGGGGCTTTTCTAGAACCTGCCAACTTAAAGGAGATGATTTACTTTCAAGGCTTGCAAATTCTCAAAGAGCACCTGTGCTGAGTTTCACACTAATTCTGTAGACTAAATCTTCTTTTAATGAATTGTTATGAAATAATAATCTAATTTGGCAAGCAGTGGTAATGGTAGTTGCAGTGAGGAAACAGAAATCAGGCCTTGGGGAGAAGATGGAGAAGGGACATGAGAATTCTAGATCTGATTCGCAGTTACTGTGAAAGTTTTAGCTGATGAAGTCTGAGCAAATGTCTACCTTGACTTCACCAAGGCTTTTGACACTGTCTCTCACATTGTCCTCGTAGGCAAGCTCAGGAAGCGTGGTCTGGATGAGTGGATGGTGAGGTGGATTGGGAACTGGCTGACCCCAGAGAGTCGCTGTCAGTGACGCTGGGTCTGGTTGGAGGCCTGACACCAGTGGTGTCTGCCACCATTCAATATTGGGAATTGTTTAACTTACTCCTTGATGACTTGGATGAAGGGGCAGAGGCATCCTCAGCAAGTTCACTGATGACACAAAGCTGGGAGGAGCAGCCAATACCCCAGAGTGCTGTGAGCCCTTCAGAAGGGCCTCAGCAGGCTGGAGGGATGTGCAGAAAGGAAATTCAGGGAAGGCAAGTGCAGGGTCCTGTACCTGGGCAGGAGTAACCCCATGCACCAGCACAGGCTGGGGATTGAGGTGCTGGAAAGCAGCTGTGCAGGGAAGGACCTCGGGGTTCTGGTGGAAACAAGCTGTCCATGAGCCAGCCATGTGCCCGTGTGGATGAGAAGGCCGGAGGTGTCCTGGGCTGCGTTGGGAAGGGCATTGCCAGCAGGCTGAGGGAGGTGATCTCTGCTCAGGAGTGCTGTGTCCAGTTCTGGGCTCCTCAGGACAAGGGACATGGAGCTCCTGGAGCAGGTCCAGTGGGGGACAACAAAGATGAGTAAGGGATTGGAGCAGCTCTGTTACGAGGAGAGTCTGAGGGAGCTGGGCCTGTTCATCCTGGAGAAGAGACATTTGTGAGGGGAAGTCATCAATAAGTATCTATAAGTATCTGAAGTCTATAAGTATCTGAAGTGAGGGTGTCAGAGGATGGAGCCAAGCTTGTAATGTGTATAGGAGTGATGACATTTGCTTTGGCAGCAATCTACCTTACTTGCTTAGTAATTTAAGCTTGTTCAAAAATGAGCATTTTAATATAGCAAAACAACAGGTAACATACCAAATTAGTGGTTGTACTTACAGACCAGCAGTTACCTAAACAACTTTGGTGTTGGAGTGAAGATACAGCTGAACATAACTTGCCACAGTAGGGCAGTGACTAAGAGATCTAACAGTGTTTGTTGGATTTATGTGCTCTTTAATGTTAGATAGGACAAAACAATAGCTATATTACACTTGCTTTTAGCATCTGTGATGTTACTAGAACTGGGTGCCCATCTGAGGGCCAAGTATTGTTACTGGCTGATGGTTAGTTAAGAGGTTAATTATTAATTCTAAACAGCAATGTTTAGAAAACCTGCCTTCTATGAACTGGGTTTTAGGGTTATACTTAAGATCAACTATTGCCTTTATGAGACAAGAGAGTAATGGGATCCAGATGACCATGTACACAGTAAAAATACGGGGGAGCTTGGTGTGGGAAGAACCACTGTTGTGACCTGTTCAAACCTAGTAATCTATTACTAGAGGGTCCATGCCAGGCCAGCTCTACTATCCAGATATTCTAATATCTTTAGTGGTTCATGAGACAGTTGTGCTTGACTATCAGTAAGACAGAGCTAGCTTGGCTAATCATAGCTAAAAGGAATTATTTTCTATCTTGATACTGTCCAGAATTTTAATTTAGAATATTAAGATTCTAAATAATTTCTTCCTTTTTAATGTGTTGGGTTTTTTTTGTCTGCTTTGGGTTTTGACTTTTTTTCTTTCTTTTCTTTTTTTTCTTTTTTCTTTTTTTTTCTTTGCATAGGGCACCAATGCCTCTGCTCTGGAAAAAGACATTGGCCCAGAGCAGTTTCCAATCAATGAACACTACTTTGGATTGGTCAATGTAAGTACCATTCTGATGTTACTTGAAATTTGCTTTGTTCCTTGGTTTTGCTTTGTTTTGTTTTCCTCTCTCCCTTGCTCTTATCAATCTTATTCTAATGCAGGATTGTCTTTTTTGTTTTTTTAAAGTGCTGCTCTTGTTGCAATTTTAGGCAAAGTGGGTTGCAAAACTGTATCAGATGTTTGAAAATGGCTTCATACACCCCCAGAGAGAACAGTTCTATGAATATTTCAAGGGATTAGAACATACACTTAAATAAAATTAAAAGTCTATTTTAGCTGTGAAATAGGAGGGAGGAAGTGATGACAGTACATACAAGTTTAGGTACAGCATTCTGCATTGGGGTCTCTTAGGAGGAGCTTTTTTCTTTGACCAAGGAGAAAATGAATGAGAAGAGTGTTTAATCACTTGTTTGTTCCCATAGAAATTATATAGATGCAATAATTTTTTCCTTTGAAAACATTAGTCATTCTGCTACTGAGCAGTAAGATAGAGTCCAGATATGAAAATAAGCTTAATGAAATCCACTACAATACATATTTTTCTTACAAGCGGAAACCTTTGCTTGGCATCCTAATTAATTTAGAACACCATAGTTTTTTCCATGAAGTGTCGTGATGGGTGTGCAACTGCAACTATATGGCAAAATGACTGGTTTGTGACAGTGACAGGAGTCAGAATTTGAATGAAAGCTAGTTTTGTTGTGATGCACAGGGATTAAGCTTGTTTTTAATTTTGCATGGCAGTTTGGGAACACCTGCTACTGTAACTCCGTGCTGCAGGCATTGTATTTTTGCCGGCCATTTCGGGAAAATGTATTATCATACAAGGCCCAACAGAAAAAGAAGGAAAACCTCTTGACTTGCCTGGCAGATCTTTTCCACAGTATTGCTACTCAGAAGAAAAAAGTTGGAGTTATTCCACCAAAGAAGTTCATATCAAGGTTACGAAAAGAGAACGGTAAGTGTAAAACTGAAGTCCTCTAAGGTATTCATGCATTGATCAAAAAAGTATAAATAAATATTGAGCAATGTGATCATATTGATCAGAAATACAGGTTAGATTTGTAAATTGCTTTTAGTACTTAGTGGGGTGTATTATTATTTTAGTATCTGTGTATATGGCATTTTGCTTGAAATAACCATACCAGATTCATAGGCTCCCAGAGGTGTGTGAATTAGTGATGTTTTCACACCGTGGTGGGGCAGACCTTACTGTAGAGTGAGCTAAAGCTGGGAATAGGGTGACACTGCTGTAATTTTATTTTTTTTTTTTGTGGAGTGTGGCAGAGAAACCTTGAGGTCAGGTGGCAGTATAGAAACTGTGTGACCTAGGAAGGCTGCAGGCACCACCAGCTCCAGAACACCCTGGAGGATAAGGAACAGGGTACATGTGGGGTGGTCAATCCACTACACATCAACTGCTGCCCTGGTTCTTGGAAGTGGTGGACACAGTCTTACTGTGTGAAGCATCAGGCCCTTTTTGACCATTAAGCTGGCAACAGCATATACCTACCTAATCTTGTAGTAGTTCTGTCTGAGGGATATGAGGAACATCTTGAGATAGAGATGCTTGTCACAGCTCCATTTTGGCCTGGATTCATATTGGTGTAGATGGTATGCTTAAAAACAGAGAGGCTTTGAATGAAGAGACAAAATATGGATCAAACACCTGGAAGAAATTGCTTCCCAGTGACAGCATATAAATGGGCACACTGTTCATTTCAGAGCAGACATTTGAAATCCTGAAAAAGTTAACTCTGAGTCATCTAGTGATAAATGCCCCCACACTGTTTGAGTTCACTTGTAAAGACTGGATCTTATGTTTTCAGCTTTTTTAAATTAGGATCAGAGTCAGTGTGTATTACCCAGCTTATATGTCCAGGCTAGACACTACAAAGCCAAAGGTTCTGTACAATATTTTCTGAGGAAATCCACATGAACTTTTTCAGGAGCAGGGGGATAAAAATACACATTTCTGGGAACACACATTCCTTTCTCTTTGACATAGTGAGCAAGTTAAGCCTTTACTGGAGAAGTCTGTACTAAATCACCACTGAGATATTTTCCCCTCTTCCTGCAAGCATTTTGTATTGAACAGGACAAGTCCTTTCTCATCAGACTTGTGTGTGAAAAACTTGGGGGCTTTGTTAGATGGTGTTATTATTACTACTTGAAGTGAGTTAACCTTGACTGGATGCCAGGTGCCCACCAAGCCTGTCTCTCACTCCATCTCAGCAGGGTAGGGGGAGAAGATAAGAGGAAAAAAACTAATGAGTTGAGATCAAAGTAGTTTAATTAAAAATTTTTAAAAAGGCCAAAAATTAGAAACAAAGGAAAACCAAAGGAGATTTATTCTCTACCTCCCATCAACAGATGATTTCCAGCTGCTACCTGGGATGTAGGGCCTTGGCATGTGTAGAAGTTTGTTTGGAAGAGATACATCTTAATAGTGAAAACCTGCCCATCTTTCTCTTAGATTTTAGTGATGAACATGAAGTCACATGGCATAAAATATGACTTTGGCCAATTTGGGACAGCTGCCTCACCTATGTCCCCTTCCCAACCTCTTTCACACCCAGCCTACAAACCTTTGGGCAGGATGAGAGTTGGAGGTACAGCCTTGATGCTGTGTGAGTGCTGCTCAGCATCAGCTGAAACACTTGTACATCATCATCACCATTCTAGCCATACCTACAAAGTACAGCACCCTGTGGACTACTGTGAGGAAAGGTAACTCCATCCTGGACACTGTACACAAGTATGTGTCAGCATCCAAGGCTTCAGTTTTCCCTGCCACGTGACTTACTGTCAAAACTCTGTGATGTTCCCAAGTGTCTGAGGGACTTGGAATATGTGGATGGAAGTCAGTGTTGACTAAAGTTAGGCGGTAAGTGTCTAGTGTAAGGCAATAATTTAGGATGAGTCACACTCTTGCTTTCTCCTTTGACTGTAATGGAAGCCTACACAGCCAACTCCAGTGAGTGTAACTCTGTAGAGCTAAAGTTAGGTGAGATGAAGCTTTCCCCCAAAGTGACTTCACTGAAGCCAGAGCGACTGGCTGCAAAACTGTTCTTTGGGATGATGCCAAATACTTTACAAATACAGTACAAGTATTTGGAAAAAAATAAATTTCTTTCTTAGAGGAAAGGATATTCAGCTGTACAAATCTTGACTCTCTTCTTCACAGATCTCTTTGACAACTATATGCAGCAGGATGCACATGAGTTTTTAAATTACCTGCTCAACACCATTGCAGACATTTTGCAGGAGGAGAAGAAACAGGAAAAGCAAAATGGGAAACTGAAAAATGGCAACATGAATGAAGCTGAAGAGAACAATAAACAAGAACTCACCTGGGTGCATGAGATTTTTCAGGGAACACTGACTAACGAAACTAGATGTTTGAACTGTGAAACCGTAAGCATTGGGATAGATTTTTTTTTGGTTGTTGCCCATTAATAGATAGATACATTTTGTATATATAAATATATGAATCTTTTCAGACATCTGAGAATTGTGGATATTCCTGTAGAATTTACTTCTTGAAGTGAGTATATTATTTTCTAAAAATTTATTTTTCTAAGCATTACTTGGCTCATCTCTGCCAGGTTTTGCTGTCCTAATACATATCTCTGCAGTTAAAATCCTTGCTAATGAATCAATACCTTTCCTTATCAGTGTAACTTTGAGAGAAGGTATTCACATCATATTCCTATAAGAAGTAAAATATTAAGATGAATTTGTGTTAATTCCATCTTAAGAGTCTGACAGGTATACAGAGGGTTCATTATTAACAAACTGTTTTTCTATTATCTCCCTAATGTTTTCTAGAGAACGATGTCAGTTTGAAATCTCTTATGTTTGAGCTATAAGTAAAAACTAATTTTAGTTGGGAGACCTGTTGCAAGTCTCCTATTGATTACTGTCTTTTTCAAACACATGCTTCTGCTGAAAGAGAAAATAAATAATTTTTTTTAATTGTTCCTGTGAGGTTGCATGAAAGAGTAACACATACAGGAAAAAAAATCTCCTTTGGGGAGAACATTGACACTGACCTTCCAGAAAGGTTGGAATTAATCACCTAACATTTGCTCAGTAAAGCAAAGTTGGTAGTCATCAAGGATGAACTAGTTTTCTCAACTCCTGCAGATGATGGAGACTGTGAAGGAGCTTTTGCAGGAAGCTCTCTCCATCTTTCTCTAGGCTCTTTCATGAAACAAAGTTTTTAGCAGTATCTGGTGATTTGTTCCATACAGCTCGTCCTGGCTCCATGGTGTTACTAAGCTGTTGCAATTGTTGGTGCAGCAATGCTGAGAACTGGGCCAACAAACTTGTCTGGCCTAAGAATGATGTACTTTTACCCAGATCTGTGCTGCTACTATGGGCTTCCTCAAAGAAAACACAGCTTTAGATTAGCTGCATTAAGATGGGAGAAGGTGCTCAGAGAAGGTATGTTCAGACAGCAAGCTGAGGTTTAGACAACTGAAGTTTGGTGACATAAAATCTACCCAGGTCCTACCAGGTGTGTAAAATAACATAGTCTGATATGTCTAATCATAAAGAATAGCTCTGTTTTCCAAGAAAATATATACAGCTTTTCCAGGGACTTGGTCAGAGGAGGATGGCGAGGAGAAGAGATGCAAAGATAGTCAACATGAAAAAATATGTTGGAGCAAGCTTGGAACAAGCTTGTATAAATGGACACATGAGAGAGATACTGAAAATTAATTATTTAATCTATTTCAATTATAAAACCTTGAGTAATAGCAAGTTAAAGTGAGTGAAAGGTTAGAATTATTTTTTAACTGACAAGCGTCTCTAAATAGTTGTGGCCTAATTCTAAATCAATATCTAGTGTTTACTCAGAGAAACTGTGGTGAAGTGAGGATGTATCCTCGGGTAACAACATAACGGCACAATTCCCTACTTGTAATTCAAAGTGATGAAACTTTGTGGAAAATGTAGCTTGTCTGTAGCTTCCTCTGAATACAGAAATACTGTATACTACTCAGGATATTTTTCCAGTTTCTTTCCCTTGGATTAGTGTAGCTTGAAATCTTAGAAAAATAGTAAAACAGATTAAAAGTTATTCCTTTGCTAAAATATTCATAAGTAGTACGTGAAGAATCATTCAGATTTCAGCAGTTTTTATTCTCACTTAGAAAGAGTGCAGTTTGAATCTGGTTTTCCAGTTACCTTTAGTTTTAGTCTGTATTATTCTAGCCCCAAGTAGATCATCTTCCCTTCCAGTAAATATTTGACGTGCAGAAATCAGTAACAGAATTCCGAGTTTCTTTGAGGCACGCAGATGAAGCACTATACTCGCCAAGGACTCTTTCAAGTATTTAAGTTCTCATGATACTCAGTGTGTCTGACAGAACTCTAGTTCCAGCTGTGGAGACATAATGTTCTCTGAAGCTTTGTTGCTTTATCTTTCAAATTTTAGCTGTATATTTATACAGCAGTTGATTGCTGCCAGTTTTGTGGTTTCCTGTCCTCCGTGAGTCAAATCATTTCTCAGGGAGGATTTTTGAAGAACTGCTGTTCGTTTCAGTTGGCTATGCATTATGCCTCTGTTCATCTTTGATAATATCAAAATTAATCCAACCAAAGGTGTTTCGCTGCATTCAGGTCTGATATGGGCTGCATTCACCAAGTTTATAGGATCCCTGACATAACATAAATATGAGCTCAAGGTGGTACATAACTATCACATCCACAGAATTGAAAAAATCAGAGCATGAGGGACTTCTGCCAGAACAATGAATTCATCCCCTCACAGAAGTTCTTGATTTGAACTTCACTATCCTCCCATCTGATTTAGCTATTCCAAGGAAATGCAGTAATAGGAGGCAAAATATGGGGTGTTCATGCAATATTTTATTTAAAAATTTGTTATGAATATGACTGAATTCATATGCAGTAAGTAATTCTGCAGTCTTTAGACTCAGTTGAAATATTACAAGAGTGATTTTTGGATTATTTTTTGGTTAATATAACTTCACTTTTGAGATGAAACACTCCTAGTGAAAAATATTTTTCAATGCAAAAATCATGATCTGTCTTTCTGGAAATATTTGGACTTAAATGTTTAGAATAAAAATTCTTCTTTGTAATTTTTCTCCTCTTGTTCTGTCTAAAAAAGAGATTGGCAATTCCGAAGTGATTCTGCAAAAATTCATTATCACAGAGCCATTTTTACCTTTAATCTTTTAAATTTTTAAATCAAAATATTGACTAGGAACAATATCCAATGGGGAAATGTAGCTGTGTCAACCAGAAGTCTAAACCCATCCTTTTCAGTACTCACTGAAGAGAAAGGATAACATGGTTAAGTATGACTTTTGTGACAGAAACATACTTGGAAATTATCTCGTTGCATCCTTAATAGTGGAAATGATTATGCAAGAATAAAATGTGGGTATATATTGTAATGTGTTATACAAAGGGTAAACAAATTTCTGATAGAAAAAGAAAGGAGGCTGTGTTACATAACAAGGAAACATACATAATGCACCAATCCCAGATAATATAGGGGAGGATGGTTCACCTTTACTGAACAGTAGACTGTCATTAATGGCCCCTGGTTGGTGGGATTGGGTAAGTGGAGTAGACAGAAGTTAAATTATATGAAAGCTTGATTGGTAGAATTATTAATACATATCACACTGATCATTAGTCACACTGAACTAAAAGAAAAAAATAAAGCATTAAAATTAATTATATTTATGTAAGAGCAATTTCTACAGAAATAAATATCTTTAGCATTTGCTAAAGATATAAACAGCATTTAGATGTATGGCATCTCTGTTTTACATGTATGTCTTTTGCAACAGGTTAGTAGCAAAGATGAAGATTTTCTTGACCTTTCTGTTGATGTGGAGCAGAACACATCGATTACACACTGTCTAAGGTAAATGAATGCATCTTCTTGGCAGATAGTTCTAACTGCTAGATTTTTTGGGTCCAGTAGGTATAGAAAAGAAAAGTAGAATAACATTTAGATTTGAACTTACCTTAAGCAGGAGAAAAAGACTTTAAACTGGATGTTTCCTCTAATGACAAAATATACATTAATGTACTTTGCTTTACTCGTTTTTTCTTTCAATGTGTGTATTTGAAAGAGGAAAATAAGTCAACTTTCAGGAGAAATAATTGATTGCGTTGTTGTCTGGAAGAATTGCTGCAGAATAATAATTGGCTTCAGAGAGATTTAAATGTGCTTATCTTTAAGCTTCTACACAAGTGCTTTGTTGATTAGGATTTATATGCATATTAAAAGTTAAGTGTGTGTTTTGCAGAATGAGTGCTAGAGTCCGTAGAGGACAAAATATTTCAAAAGTCTATTTTATTATCAGAAATGTCTTATTCTGTGTCTCATCCTAAAATTATGTGAAGTCTGGTATTCTAAATTTCTGTTCTTCTTCTAGTATGTTCTTAACTTAAAAACTCTAGAAATCAAAAAAAGTTTTCAGTCTTACATGGGTGATTATTCTGAGAGATTTAAAATGTCCAGAGTTTTGGCATTAATACAATAAACCACTACCTATATTTAAGATAATATGTTGCTGTTCTAAGGTAATGATTATCAATTGGTCAAATTCCTTCGAACTCCAAAATTGCTATCAAGGTTGAAATTGCATTTAACAGTTATTCTGGAATGCCTCAGTGATTTCCTGGAGTGTAATCCCAAGGTGAGAGTTACAGGAAGAGAAAGAATGTGAGGTGCTATTTCCTGAATCAGAAAGCAGTGACTTCTCTGTGAATCCGACAGCGGTACTGAGTAACTTCTGTTTTTAAAGGTTTTTTTCCTCCTCAGCTTCTGTTCAGTCTCCCACAGGATGATCTAGCAGTTCTTAGCCCTCAAATAGTACATGCTGCATTACTTAGCCTCCCTGTAATAAGTGGGCAAACCAAAGAGAGGCTTTGGCAAGCAGTGCATTCTCTTTTTCTCCTGTAGTCTCTTTACCTCTTCACAGTAACCAGTAGTTGAATCATTATTGGTACTACAGGCTTTTGTTTGCACACTTTTGACTTCTTCACTGTAGCGACTACCCTGAACTTGCCAGTATTACTTACCTTTCCCTATGATGTTCAAAGTCAATTTGACATCCCACTGAGCTGCAAGGATGCTGCAGTGCCTTTTGAGGTCCTTTCTAATCTGAGTTGTTATTTGGTTCTATGGTACTGGAGACTGAGCACTGACATTTTCTTATAGCAGAGTCTGGTGAACATATTAGAAACTGCTGTGTGGAAGTTACTGTCTGTCCTTCAACTTTCTCCAGTTTTTTATTTATAATCTTGATATTTTATCTTCTTGGAAATGTTTTTTTGGGAATGGCCATTTTATGTGAAGGCAGAGTAAGTACTTCAGTAAAAATACCAATAGCATTTCTTCTACTGAAGACAATAGCTGTAGCTTAGGACATGGAAAAACTGCATCTGCACAACTGCAACCAACAAGTGAATGGTGGAGTTAAAAGTGACTCCAAAGAGGTTAGCCCCTACCTTCATATTAGACAGGATGCTTATCCAACCTGTTCCAGAAGATCTTTTTAGCAGTATTATCTTGATTGTCTATCCTTCCTGTTCTTTACTACTAATAAGCTTTTCCTGCTACGTAATATGAATCTTTGGTTTTAGTTCAAGCCTATTTCTACTTGTGCTGTGTACTCTAGACATAAACTAGGGGTTTCCTCCATTCCCCTTAGCAGTAGCCTTTTACATACAAGAAGAATGCAATCAGGTTTTTTTTAAATTTAAACAGCCTAAGGTCATTCAACTTACCCTTCTCAGGCTATCTTCTCTGGACCTCTACACATGTTCATTACTCTCCAGCTTTCTCTCCAACTGGACTTCTCTCTTGAACTCTTATCTTTCTTGAAGTGCTGCTGTGTAGAACAGGGCAAAATATTCCAAGAGAGATCTATACAACCCTGAGAAGAATGGATGCCCTAAGTCTCTTTATGCTTTCCAGTGTAATGCCTTTACTCCAGCAGCATGACATGCATTTTGAAGTTTACCCATTGCTCCTTTTGGAAATAAAGGAAAGCAAAATCCCAATTTTCTTTTCTTGGCGTGGGAGGTACCGGCCACTGTTAACAGATTTGAACAGGAGGAGAGTTATCACCTCTCATCTCTTCTGATTGTGTTTTATGTTAGCAACATTTCTAGCTCTGTTTAGAAAACATATATACAGTTAGAATTTCCTCTCATGTTGTGTGGTATTATGCATTATTGTGCAAAATTTAAGTCCTTTTGTGGTTTCTTTCAATAGGAACTTCCAAGTTATTACTCTTTTTGGAATCTTTGCTGTTTCCGTTTTTATTTAATAACTGCTTTGCTTAAGGGCTGCTGCATTTAAAAGGTAAAATACAGAAAAGCTGTGCAAGCATTTTAGTGTAATGAATCTCTTTACCACTAAAGATGAATGTTTTTTTATTCCTGTAGTTTTTCAAAATGTAGAATGTCCTTGTGTGCTCAAGATGTCCAAAGAACAGAAAGAATACAAGCCTCTGGCATAGTCTAAGCCCACAGGATAGACAGTTGGGCCTGAAGCAATAAAAGTCCAATAACAAATATAGTATATAGTATATATCCATTGCTTTTATTTCCACTAGGAGTTTCAAAGTTCACCAGTCAGTTTGATCCTGACTTGTGTATTAATTTATATTACACTAATAATTATCTCTTAAAATACAGAACTAATATTATTTATACATATAATAATAGAAAGCATCTTTCACACTGTAGCAGAGAGGGGCTATAGAAGCACAAGGTCAATGATAAGTTAGTACATCTTGAGCAGGTGTATTTTAAAATTTCCTTTTTTTGCTAAAATAACATAAGCAGAATGCAGGTTGGACTATTAATGGAATAGGAGAGAGACATCTTGAAACTAGCTTTGCAGGTCTAGAGAAGAGTTCTGCAAAGCTGTGGCTCTTGCACATCAGACTTTGTGAACTCCAGTCAGTGATCTGTTGTTTTTAACTCTTCAATATCTGTTGGGAGTGCCATGCTGAAAATTCTCAATTGCTGAGTTACTGAAGTTGCAATTATTTCAATGCCTAACCATTTTTTCGGTGAAACATTTTTTTCTAATGCTACTAATAATAGATACCATAATGCTACTAATAAATAAATAAATACTCCTGCTACTACTAATAATACTAATAATAGATATTAATAACATCAGAATAACTAGTACATTTTAAAAGGAATTCAGAAACTCTTTGAGTTTAATTAACTTTCCTGGGTGACTTGGCACAGAACAAACCAATACCTATCAAATTTCTACCATCTACACATGTTTCTTCATGTTAGAAAAACATTATTTCCTTGCTTCACTTTGAAATGAGAAGAAAACTAATAAATTCCCCAAATTTGTTTGCTTTTTTTTTTTTTTAATTGAGACTGTAGGCTTTGAAAATAAACATCAGACTCTTTCTCTAACAGCCAACTTAAAACTTTCACAGGCACATTCTACTGAGTCTTATGTTCCCTGCACATATAACTCATCTTTAATATTTTCCAAAGTTTCAGTTCTTCAGTTGTGATTCTCTGAAAGGTTACTATGTTTTTCAGAGGAATTGGCTTAATTCAGTTAATTCTGTGTTTAAATCAAAGGTGAAATCAGGTATTGAGATCAGTGTTTACCAGTGAAGCAAATCCTTCCCGGTCATAATGCTTTAATTTCTTTTAGCTAAAAAATAATACTTATGAACAAGGTTTAGCTGTAACTTATCTTTCTAAAGATGTATTTTTTTCTTATATTTCAGCACTTTCTCCTCAATGTTAAAACCTTATAAAGAAAATAAATCAGTAAAAGTATTCTCAGTTATTAAAAATACTATGCAGTCATATGAAGTGCTTATTTGTCATGCTCTGTCGACCTTAAACCTTAATGAAGTTATGTAATTAACTTCTAATATCTATGCCCTAGCAGACTATATGGTCTTCATCTCCCTCACCTACCCCTGTAGTGATGATGTCAGGAAGAAATAATCATCCATAATCCTCCCTTTGCCTTGTAAGATAATTCTGGTGCTGCCTACTGTGAGAGCAGGCTAAAGTTGCAGACAGTGTGGATTCAGCCTCCATGAATGTGAATTGCAGTGGTAGAAGGGAATTATTTGGGTCTGTGTGGGTCTGAATTTGCCTAGAGTCCAGAAGCCTGTCAGGTACCAGGTAGGGGCACTCAATGCAACAATTCTGGAATTCTTATGTATCTGTTTAAGGCCCAAAGTCACAGGAAAATCCATGTGTTTAAAATGGAAGATAAGTGCTTATATCTGCATTCACAGTTCTCAAAATACCTGCTCAGCTGCAATGTAACACAAGAGGTGACAAAAATAATTACTGTTATTTCTTTTACAGTTAAGTGGTGTTAGTTACCTAAAATTCTGCTACAGTGTATCAGCACTGTGACTTCCAGTAAATATTTTCTGTGAACTGAGAGATGCTATCAAACCAGCCTTCCACTGCCTTCGTCACTCCAAAACACAATCCAGAAATATCTCCAAGTGTATTTACTTGATCAGGATTTACAAAATTTTCTATGCCAGCTGCCTCTTTCCTTTTTTAGCAAACGAAAAATTATAATTTAAAAACTTCTGGATGATTGTTCAAAAGGTTAGAGGACGCAGGACACTAAGTTAAATTTATTTCTTCTTTGTAAGAGGAGTCAAACCTCTCTGATGGAAGAACATCATAAAATGTGAGCTATTTGGGGATGGCAGAACTGCACTTAATGTTGCTTCATTCTGCAAGTAATTTAAAAAGGAACAGAATGGATTGAGTGATTATACCCAAGTTTGGGCAGTCCCTTTATGTGAGAGACCAGAAATAGGTCCCATTTTGAGACACTTGACCTTTCATTTGTATCATATACAGGGCCTCAGCTCCTAATATAACTTGTCATAGGAGCCAGATACCCTAATTCCATTTGCAAACCTCAATGCAGCCACTTCAGATGCTTTAGAAAACTGGAATGGATGAAGATTTCATCCTGTGTGTCTTTTGGATTCCAGTTCATCAACCCAAGTGGAGCAAATGTATTCATATCCTTAAAGAACTGATGATTGTATTTATTTACAGAGACTTCAGTAACACAGAGACGCTATGCAGTGAACAGAAATACTACTGTGAAACTTGCTGCAGTAAACAAGAGGCACAGAAGAGGTGAGCAAAGAGCAGGCTGTTTCACCATGCCCCTCCTGGCCTCTGGCAAACTTACCTACTCCTCGATATTTATTTTGTTTAAATACCTAGAAACCTTACATCCCAAATGCATTCTCTGTGTGGACCAGAGAACCTGCAGACAGATTTAAAGGCGTGTGTCTTAGTCTAGAAGCTACTTCTCGTTGAGTATTGTTATTCACAAAATGCTTTTATAATGCAGACATTTGCTTATTAAGGGAAGAGAGAATGGCTTTGAACTGGTCAGGCGTTTATCATAAGTGCTCTTACTGGTTTCACAGGATGAGAGTAAAAAAACTGCCAATGATTCTTGCCTTACACCTCAAGAGATTCAAGTATATGGAGCAATTGCACAGGTACACGAAGCTGTCCTACCGAGTGGTGTTTCCTCTGGAGTTACGGCTCTTCAACACATCCGGCGATGCCGTCAACTTGGATCGCATGTACGACCTGGTAGCTGTTGTTGTTCACTGTGGAAGGTAATGGACTTCCATGTGTATCACAAGCCATTGCCAGATGTTTGCCAAGGGCAGAGCTATCCCTGACAAAATGTGGGGAGAATGGGAGGCAGGGCTTAAAGCCTGCTGCTGCACAAGACTTGTGTGTGTCTTGGGCTGAACCATTTAGCCAACCTCCCTCACAATAAATCAGTACTTGTTTAAGGAATGATGTCTCAGGTCTCCAGAAGCCACAAGTTTGGTTTAAACTGATGAAACTACCTCCTTCCTCGTAAGACCCCTTAAAAATTTGTGAGCTAAGACTCTGTGAGGGCCAAAGGCTGTCATCATGTAGGCCCCACAACAGATCACCTTGGTCAATTTTCCCCCCTATACTTAGTTCTAAAAGTTTTAAAAGTATTTGTTCTGTAGGAAAAGTTTTAAAAGTATTTATCCTGTAGGAAAATTTGCTAAATGATCCTGGCACAGATGAAAACACCTTTAGCTTTCAGTTGATTAGCTTTGCAACAAGTTAAAATAAAAAGGTGAAAGGACTAAATGTCTAGTGTACCACCACAGGTGGATTTACCATGTTTTTCATAACATTTAGTTATAATTCTGCATTCATAAAGAAATGTGACTTGTCAAAATGGACTCAGTAGTATATTCTAATGTTTTGGGGTTTTGTTTTGCTTTCTAGTGGACCGAATCGGGGGCACTACATTACTATTGTGAAAAGTCATGGATTTTGGCTCTTGTTTGATGATGACATTGTAGAGGTCAGTATGCTGAAGGTCATAAGCACAGCTTTTGTTTTAATGTTTTCATCCCTACTTGGGGTTAAAATTCTGATCCAGAACTGGGTAGAGATTACCATCTGCAAAGCCAGAGTTTGATTGTAATGTTTATTTCAACTCTGTTAGGAAGGAAGATTGTGATCAAAATTATTAATCCTGTAATTTGTGCTCTGTCAGTGTCAGAGTGTTATTTCATAGCAACATCAAATGTTTTTAATACGAGACTTTAAGAGTTTAATTTTGAATGATTTCTATATCTAATAAAATCAATTTAATTCCTTAAAACCTTATCACTTGGCAAAATTGAACTAGATAAAACTAGCATTGCTGTAGAATTTTCATTTTTGAATAGGGAAGTTACAAGAAAATCTGAATTGTGTTGTTGATCTGGGATTGCCTGAATGCAGATTAGAGTAGAATCTGTCCCACAGCTATTGCAGATTCTGTCTAAGCATTCTGAAATTCAGTCTTACACAAACCCTCTATGTCATTGTGGCACACTGGCAAAACCCAGGTTTCAAGTCTGATTTCCCAAGAGGTAAGGAAAATAAGCACTGGGATGCTGGATGGGGCAAGTCTGGAAAAAGATTTCTAAAAATTTGAGAAAGATGGGATCACATGGTCAAATTTATGTGTTTTAACAGTGTTCATTACTGCATTCCAAGGAGTCTCTCTGTTATCAGAAAAAGCCTAATTCAGTTAATTCAGTGACAGAAACATGCCTATGACTTTCATGAGTGAGATCAGCAAGGCCCAGTCCCTAATCTTTACCCTTTCACTGCTTAAATTGCAAACAGAATTTGCTAATTGCTACCTTAAACAAATAATTGAATATGTCTGTTCTGTTCATACAGTCATTTAATCTGTGCTTGGTATTTGTTTTATCTAACAGCATATTAAAAAATATTTATTTTGCAGAAAATAGATGCTCAAGCTATTGAAGAATTCTATGGTCTGACCTCTGATATATCAAAAAATTCAGAGTCTGGCTATATTTTATTCTATCAGTCAAGAGAGTGACTTGGCAAACTGTGATAATTGTGCACAAGGATGCTGCACACAAAAGAAGGTGATGGCTCCCCTGAACTGACTTTTACACAGACCACATCTCAGATGGCTGAACAACAATACAGTGTCTCCTATTCAATGGTCTATGTGATGTTGACTGTAACCGTCCATTTTTGACATTCAGAACTTTATTTTGGGGGGGGTTGTTTGTAGTTTTAAAGTCTGATTGAAGAGCTAATTGAAGTCAGATTTTAGTGGAATTTATATGGACTAACATTTACAGATAATAAGATTTGGATGTCAACTGTTAAACCCAATCCAGCTAGAGTAGTATTTTATATGAAAGTGTTCATTACATGTAGGGCAAAATTATTTAAAACTTTAGAGATGGTTTTGGAGTGTGTTGATTTACATAGCATTCCTTTAATCCTGACATATACTTATCTCTTTTAAGTGTAAGGAAAAAAATCAATTTCATTATGATTTGAGTTGTGGTTGTATAGGGGATTTTTTTACTCATTACACTGCTGCAGAAAAGATATTCTCCCAAAATAATTTCAGTTTGGTTTTTAAAAACTTTCAGTGTGTGACCACAGACCTAAAATTCACATTCACAGAGGGATTTAAATGACAGTGGAACTGAGTAATTCTATATGCTCAGTCACTTTGTCATGAGATAGTACAGATCAGGTGAGATTTCAGAACAGAGCACTGGAATAAAGGGAGTAAGATCACACATATAATACAGAGGTAAATTGCTTTTATAAAGATTTATCTTTTTGTTAAAATGATATCATAGATTGTTTACTTTGTGTTTGCAAAGATTGCAACGCTGCTCACATGTAACATATCCATTAGGACTGAAATTATCCAGTCCATTTAAATAAGCATTGTTTGTACATAAGACACATCTTGATCTTGCAATTTTCTAAATATCTGTGGGTCCCATTTTCATTTCTCAAGACGGAGTCCATTTCTTAGAAAAATAATAGGTAGCAACCACTAGTGTACACCCTATCATGTATATATCATCCTTAACGTTTTGGTCATATTTGACAGAGTTTTGTCACCACAGAAACAGATAGAGATCTGGAGTGCTTGATTTCAAAATTAGTACAAAAGGCTTAGTTTGTGATTTTCCTGGGTGAATTTGGCTGGCGCTTGTCATGCACTGGCTAATAAAATTTCTGAATTCACCTGAGTACCTGAATTTGGCAAAGAATTAATGTACAAGAAAGTATCAATAGGGTTTGAGAAGGGACTGATAGTGGCTTGAGTCGGTGGTAATGCTGGTTGACTACCTTGTTCAGTTTAACACTTTCACTCCATTAAACAATTCTTGAACTTCAAAATCCTATTCCAATGACATCAACAGCTAAAACACTCTTCTTGTCTTCATGGGGACTGACAGTTGGTTCTAGTATCTACAAGGAAGTATTCTCATCTCACAAAATTTATTTTTTCACTCATTATGTGTTTATCAGACAATGTTGCTTTTTGTCCTTTTCTATAAGAAGCCTGCCTGACACTTTATAGCCAACACTCCATTTCAAGAAATGGCTTTTGAAGTGCAGCTACATCTCATATTTTAGTCTTCTGTAGAAAAGATAATAATGTTTTTCATTGTACTCTACTGTGAATGTGAAATATCTTTTGTGAAATATTGGTGAAAATGAAGTAGCTTCTACTGTAACATCATCTGAAGTTCGGTTGGATTTATCAATGGCCATTTTGTAAACTGAGGCAATGTAGCACTTTACACTGAATGAGAAACAGAAGTGGACTTTTCAGCTAAGATTATTTGTGATTTATCATGCTATTTTACTGATGCAAGAATATAGAATGTAACCTTAGAGGACTTAAGTTAATGATAGTAGTGGTCTACAGAGATCACTCACATGAATGAAGGCTGGTTTGCAGGCTCAAGGCAAGCATGATCAGGATGCAACTCCTATTCTTTTATTGATGTTAGAATGAAATGTTCTGTCTTTAATATAGAAGATAGACATCTTCCAGCAGATTTCAACTCCCACTGAGACAAAGGAGCTTTTCCACTGAAAAACTAAACCTGCAAATCCCTCTTTAATTGATTTATTTATAAACATTCAGAATTTCTGTATAAAAATATAAAAATTTCTGGCCTTTTCAAATGGATACGGTTTCCTCACTGTGAATGAAATCACTTTCTAGATCAGCAATAATCAGTGCTGGTCCAAAGGTCTGTATTTTGCAGTTTACTACTGAACATTCTTACAGGATTCTTTAGAAAACTAAAGATTCAAAACAGATATTTTTAAGGTATCATTTGAATCTTCAGGGCTCATGTTTATATGAAAAGTAATGTTTCATAAAAATAATTTTTAAATCAGTTCAATTTTAGGAAACATTTTCCTTATTTCAATAGACTTATGTGAAAATTGGTTTTTAAAATGTTAATAGTTTGAATTAATATTTAAATGCTAAACTAAAGTGGTTTTCTCCACTGCAAGACAGCTTTAGATTGTAAAACATACCAATCATTGCAGTAAGTTATTGAGAGTAAAATTACTAGAATAAGCTGTTTCATAAAGTATGAAAAAGCATTTTTAATTCATGCTAGCCCATGAAAAGATCACAGCAGTCGTATCACACCAGTCCAGCATCAGTAATCTGACATCATCTCTGAAACATTGTGGAATACACACTTCATAATAACACTAGCTAAACTAGGGAGCATTTTCTTTTGATTAACAAAGTTGCCATCACAATTCTATAAATTGGATCCAGTCTCCAGTGTGCTGAATGTCTTCAGTCCAAAAGCTGACACAGCTGTATGAATAGTGCCAGTCTAGGCAGAGGAATTCTTTGTCAAATTAAGCACATTCACTCAAGTTTTGCAGGATTGGGATCCCCACAGGAACAATCATATGGTGTAAAGTATTTTAGCTGATTAAATAAAACATAATCCCTTTTCTCTTATGCTTATGCATACAAATACCTAAAACATAAAAAGCTTTTCAGCTAGCAGCTAGAAAACAAAATGCTAGCACAGATCTCTAATACTGTTCTGTGCTTACCTAGAATGACTGTATTTTATGGTGTCAGGTTCTAGGTATATTAGGTCTAACAACAATTGAAGTTTTTCAGTTGTTTCCCATGCTGTAGCTGAGATGCATGGTCCAATTATAAATGCTATTACTATATTCTCTACTTAGAAAAAAACACATTTTTGTCTTGTGCTGTGTTTCCACAGCATTGCAGTGCTGATGAATCAGTTACCTTAGAGGATGAGCTCAGAACTCAGCTCTTTTATTTCCAAAAACAGGCTGTTGGAATTTTATGGAATTTCTAATTTGGGGACATATGAGAGGGAGGCAGAAGGGTAGAGTAATGGAAAAGCCATACCAAAGAAACAACATCTTTTTGAAATTAGGTCCTGAAATTACTCCTGTCAAATCTACTTTAACAATTTAGTTACCTCAGAGTACTAGATTATATATGAAAATTTTTGTTCCTTTAGCAGTTGGAGTGAAAAAAACAAAGCAGTAGGAGTTTCCTTCATATTAGGTTTAATAAAAATGTGAAAGACCTAGCAAAATTAAACTGAAATTCGCCTTGCACAATGGATCCTAAAGTGCTACCACAACCTGTGTTTTATCTTCAGACATTACATTTCAGTCACTCATCTGTTCCAACATCATGTCGTTGGCACCTGAGCTGACAGCTTGCAGCTGCCAGTGATTTGATGCCTCTCAACAGCAGACCCTCCTTGTTTTATCTTTTTTGCTGCATGTGGCTGATAGTTGTGAGCAGTGTCTTACAGCTGAATGAATACTAGAAATTTTAACAAGTTTTGGCCGGGTACCTGTTATTTTACTAGTATCTTTTAGAAGGGTTTGTTTTAATTTATTTTTCTTTTGTTGGTCTGTTACTGTATTTGTATAGTAACTTATGTGGTTAATACTATTGTTTTGCTTTAATTTTTATATAATTTGGGGTTTTTTTGTAATGTAATCAACCCAAGCACTTTAAGCAACAATGTCGATCTTGTGAAATTCCATCAGTTTAGCCTTTGTCTTACTGTTTTTGCAGCTGTTTGCTTGTGATCCAATATCTCTAGTTACAACTCAATTTCCATTTATAGGTTTGTAGTCCTAACTAGGTTGTAAAATTGGGAAGCCTAATTCATACATATTTGTTCATGTATAAAA